TTCCTCGTGGCTGTATAATCGTCGCTCGGCCCCGAAGAAACGCGCGCCGAGCGATAGGGCGCGTTATCTCGCGGAAACGCGCACGTGAGAAAACGCGCGCGATTTCAACGGCGCTGCGCGTCGTTACGCGCCGTTACGGTCGATTCTAATTTCAGTGCTTTCGGCCGTCCGAGCAGATGCGACGTGTTATCGAACCTTTTAACCACGTGGACGTTTACGACGCGCTCGGCTACGCGGACGACGACTCGTCGACGACGAAAATCCACGTGTGCAGGAAACGAGATGCGGGTTGGGCCGCGCGGTAAGTCACACGTGTGTATCTTCGTCAACGGTCGACGACAGAGTACCTTCAAACGGCGAATCTAACCTGGCGATGGGCGATCTCGATTCGACTCTCTCTCTCTCTCTCTCTCTCCTCTCTCGGAGGAGGAGGAGGAGGAGAAGGGAGGGGGGGGGACATCGGTTTCTCAAATCGATTCTTTCATGTTCGATTTTCGTACAAGTCGCGCGATTCCCTCGAACGTCGAGCCCCGTTGAATTCTTCATCAGACGAGACGACATTGATGGATAAGCGCATCGACGGCTCGAAAAACTCGATTGTCTATCGGGAAGAAGCGATTGTCTGAGGATCGGATCTATGATTGACCTACACGCGATTTGCCGCTACTTCCGCGCGGAGAAGAGTTCGACCGATTTCGCTCGGTCATCTTCGCGAAGCTCGCAACTTGCCGAGAGAACTCTGATATTTTTTCCCGCCGAAGCCGGGGGATGGAAGCGCGACGCGAGCGACGATAAAATATGCGAGGTAGATGCGAGTGCGAGTGGACGCGCAAATGATAAATGTGAGAACGCAGGTAGATCGCGCGAGCGAGCGGCCTGCACATTGTCGCCTCCTCCGTAAAGCTGGCAAGTATCGCGAGAATCTCGTAGGCGGAATGGCTCGCCGAGAGGATCCTTATTAGCGGACGAGTCGTCCTTGAACATGCCACGGGAATGATCAATATTTGTAATATAAACTCCATTATGATACTTCATCACCGCTCGCGGGGTAACTCACTCGCTCGGCGGCCGCGGCCGCACGTACGGCGGCGATTCTTGTGGCCGATCGATTCGCCGAGATGATGTAATTTATTCCATTTGATGCGACTTACCTCGAGATTGCATGAAGGAAAAGAGGTCGTCGAGGAACTCCTTGCGCTGCGGGTCGTCAGAGAGCTCGTACAGCTGTAACACAGAGAGCAAAGAGTCAAAGTGAGTACATTACTCGCCTTATGACGACGCCTGCGGAATAATTAAGAGCGCACAAAAAAGACAAAAAAAGGACTGCATCGTCCCCCCGCCGTTGCCCCGTGCTGATATCTACGGTGTGATTGACGCAGATGCGCAGAGTACTGTCCGCGACGAGCGGTAGCTCGGCGCATACTCGGTAATTTCCCCCGTGCGACGCGATTTTCGCTCCCGTCGTCGGAAGTGAACTCGACGGGTAATTAAAGGGGAGAGCTTCGCAAAAAACGTCACGACCAGCGGCCACGCTGGGGCCACGACCGCCCAGCGTTGTTTTCCTCCGTGCTGCTTTCCTCCGCCCCGATCGGCAGAATAAAACGTTAGCTCACGGCGTGGTAATAAAAACAGGAGTGAAACAAGTGTGCTCATAGCGACAGGCAGATTAGTTAGCTCCGATTATTAATGATTCCGTTTAACCTGCCTCATAACCCGAAACCCTCGCCGACCATACGAAAGCCAAACCCCCTTCGGGCTAGTGGCCCGTATTATCATATTTGTTATGTACGATGTGCTATATCTAATCTGAGACCCCCTAATTGCTTTTATAATATGAGCCCCGTCCACCCTCGCTTTCTCCTCTTCTGCCGCGCGTCTCTTACTCCCCGGCGCTTTCTACATCCCTTAAACCTCTCTCTCTCTCTCTCTCTCTCTCTCTCTCTCTCTCTCTCTCTCTCTCTCTCTCTCTCTATCTCTATCTCTCTCTCTCTTTCTCTCTCGTAGCCGAGCCTACCTTTTCCTCTTCCGACTCTTTTCGCTCTTCGCGCGACTCGCCTCGGCTCGACTCGTACGTTTGCCGCGACGATAAATTTCATTCAACTAATCGCGATGTTTCGCAACACTGCCTCTTCCCCCAAGGGCGAATCATAATTAATTCGCTGCCTCGCGCGCGCGCGCGCTCGCGCCGTCCATCCTATCTAGTTTTCCGCTTACAATTAGCTTGTCCGCGGACTATGAGAAAGGGAGAAAGAGAGAGAGTAACAATGAAACGAAAGTGACCACGAGAGAGAGAGAGAGAGAGAGAGAGAACGTGGCGCGTGTATATTACGCGCTCGAATTTCATAGCTCGAACACGACTGAGGACTTGAGCGCTCACTTTGTGTCGCGCCGCGCGCGAGTTTCCTCGTATCGAATGTCGGACAATGAAACGTAAGATCGCGCGGCGGATATCTCATCGGCATTAATGAACCAACTAGCCGTCTACGCTGCAAGTCTCGAATGAAAATTTCTCTCGTTAATAACGGCCTTCGTTGACGGTAACGCGCTGACACGCGCGCGCACGCGCGCGCGTGCTTCGCGTTATCGTCCGTGACTCGTGAGAGAGCCATGAATGACTTCTTTTTTATAACAGCGTCCTGGGGATCGCGTTGCGAGAAGCCCTTCGGTGAGCGCTGCGGAAATGGAGGAGCGATACGTCAAAACCGTAGCGCGGTGCCGCGTGAAGAGAGAAGACGTAAACGTCAACGCCTGTCAGCGGGAAAAAATGCCGAGTGCGCCGCGATAGGCGCGGTGACAAAGCGAAATGCGTATGCGTGCATTTGCGAGCAACGCGAGGCGAGCTAAGCGAATGTGTTACGCACGACGGTGTACAGCTGCGTGGTCGCGTAGAACAGAGCGGTTTCCCAGCCCTGTGTGTGTGTGTGTGTGTGTGTGTGTGTGTGTGTGTGTGCGCGTGTATATGTCGGCAGGTGTAACGTCCGGCGAGTCTCCGCCACCACCGTGCGGCAGAGATCGTCGTTAATCGATGTTAATCGATGAGAAGGAGAGGAGGGGGGAGAGAGAGAGAGAGAGAGAGAGAGGGAGAGAGAGAGAGAGAGAGAGAGAGAGAGGGAAGAAGAAAAAGACAGTTTGTCGGTTTAATCGCACAGACTTCCGCAGCCGCACCCTCGCTTGCTCCGTCGCGCTCGCCACCCCCCGATCTTATTCACCACCCTCGATGGGATGAAGCGATGAGCGTATCGCATGAACGAAAGAACGCACGGAGGAAAGAATGAAGGAAGGAAGGAAGGAAGGAAGGAACGAACGAACGAACGAACGAACGAACGAACGAACGAACGAACGAACGAACGAACGAACGAACGAACGAACGAACGAACGAACGGACGAACGGACGGGATGGACAGACGAACGGACGGACGGACGGACAGCATTTCTCAAGGGCCATTTTGTACCACTTTCTCGTGTTTTTTCTTTGGCTACACGAGCGATGAGCTCGTTAGGGGCAGCCGGAGGGAGAGAGGACGGAGTAAAAGGTAAGGGGAGGGGACGTAGCATAGAAGGCTGAGGGTTCAAGCGAGGTATATTGATTGATCTACAGTTAAGCGGACTGACGGCGGCCACGTGAGAGGATCAGGGAGAGAAGAGAGCGTACCGCAGCTCTCCTCTCGCTCTCCCTCCCTCTCTCTCTCTCTCTCTCTCTCTCTCTCTCTGTCTGTTTCCCTCCATCTTTCTCTCTCCTTCTCTCTCGCTCGCTCTCAACGTAGCCCCGCGTGTGTGCACCTCACTACCATGGTAAAATAAAGACGGGGCAACGGAATTTGCTCTCGATGATGCATGCGCCGCAGCCCCGCCCTCTCCTTCTCTCATCCACTGACGGCCCGGTGAATAATAATTCCTGATACGACCAGCGCGCGCGGGTTGATCGGACGACTTTCGTCCGGGCAGCGATGAGGAGAGCCAACTTTGTCGATGATCGATGTACGCATGCTTAGTAACGCTAACGGACCCGAAGGTGCTCGTGATTATAGCGAGGGGCACTGAAGTACACGAGCCTGCGAAGGGGATGGAGAGGGGGGAGAGAGATACAGGCGGGAGGGGGGGAGGAGGTGGGACGTTGGCGGGCGTTCTTTGGAAATTTTAATCATCGTCCTTCAGCCGCGGATTGTCGAGGCTACCGGCGATAACGAGAGAGATCCACCAGCCGATTTCAGCCGTGGAGGCTCGGCCTCGCGGGAGTCGCGGTTGGAACCTCCGGCAGCGAGAGAGGCGGAAAGGTGCGAGGATACGCGTATCCGGTGTATCGCGGACGGGTCGCCGAATCGACCGTTGCGATTGCGCTCATCGGCCGTAAAGATGGTCGAGTCGATTCCGCAGGGCCTCTTGCTCGTCCGCGTTCTAGCTTCTTGACCGGCGCGCGCGATGAACTTTACGACCTCGAGACGCGATAGAGGTGGGCGCGAACGCAGGGGGGCGGTGAGAGGAGCCTCTCCGTCGTGCACTCAACTCGACTCAACTCAACGCGCGCGGCAGACTACTGCTGGTTTTACGAGCGCTGCGACTATCGATGCACGCACGACTCTTCCCGCCTGTGTCAGGGGAGATCGAGATAGTTCGCGCCTTCTTCCGGCTGATAAGAGGTGCCAATAGCCCCGACGGTTTCGAACGTGGCGAATGCAGCCGTGCGTGCGCACTTGATAAGTCGCGATAAAAGAAAAAGAGAGCGGGGGAGGGGGACACATACACCCCGCGCTCTTCCCGGCTCCGAGTTTCGGCATCGTCGATCGATGCCGTGGAGTGTATTTCAAAAACAAAAAAAAAAAGAAAGAGAGGGAGAGAAAAAACGCAGAAAATTTCTCAGATAAACAATCTCGCGCGTACAAGTCACCTTTCGCACATTCGCGAAATCGCCGAATCACGCGAGAATCACGACCGACCCCAAACACATGCGATCTCTCTCTCTCTCTCTCTCTCTCTCTCTCTCTCACTCTCTCGTCGCAATATACGATATTACGACGCTTCCAGGTACACGTCTCACGCTCCCCTGAAACGGATAATGATAATGTAGAATTTCCATACGGCCGGGCGTATCGCTCGCAAAGGGGAGGAAGAACGTGGACGGGCGGACCTGGACCTGCCTACCACTCGCCCTCGCCGACTTATTATCTTAATTACATAATTGGCTGGCCGTGGGTTCGTGTACTTTGAAAAGCTTCGCGCACCGGGCGATACACCGTCGCGTCGCATCCGCCCCCGCGAACGTGCACGGGGTCAACTTCCGGCCGTAAACCTCCTCGAGGATGCGCGTCTCGAGGATGCGAAACGGAAGCAGCGGGCGCAGCCTTACGCAATATTATGCGCCTCGGCTTTTCTTTCGAGCTTCGAGATCGAGATACCGCGCCGGCCTGCGGAGCGCGGTATGACCATGAAGAAATGACATCTTCGTGCAAAGGGCGCGCTGGCTGTACTTTCGTCACGCCGCCGATAACGCCCAATTATGCCGCCCCGAAGGACGATGCACGCGTCAAATCGGCATTCCGCGTGGACACGCCCGTGTCCGGGCGGGAATGTGACTTCGATTGGAGCGATTCGAGACGGAGAATATCGGCACAATTACGGTAATAACAGCCGAGCGAGGGCCGGGGAAGAGATCGCCGCGCGCCGATTGCATGCCGCGAGTGTGGAATACTAAGGAACGACGTAACCGTAATTCCTCCTGTCCCCTTGTCCCCCGCTCGCAGGTTGCAACATTTAAGAACTTTTGATAACCGCAAAAACTTTAAAAGGACGAGGAAAAAAAAAACAGACTTGTACGTACCTCGCGCGGCGTATCAATGACTCACGCGGCTGCGACAATTAACGAGCGCGCGCGTTGTAGCGCATCATTAACGCTTATCTATCTACATACGTACGGGCGCATTTATCGGTTTAATTTGGCCCGTAAGCCGCGATCATGAGTAATAACGGCGATCTTTATCGCATCGGCGCGCAAGTTATAAAAGTGTTATAAAAAGGAACACGCGGCGCTGCACATTGAAGCGACGCGTGTACACAAGAAGCTGGCTATCACGAGCGGAAGGACTGATTTATAGACTAATCCATGTCCCTCGCGCTCCTTTGAAGTGGTCGGATTATTATTAAATCATTCCCCGGCACGCTAATTCACCGGGCCGTGCGAATCCCGCGTGGCGGGTCCGCTTGAATTACGACAAACGTGCGAAACGAGA